AATCAAATATTAGTGGGAATTACTAAAGCAAGTCTGAATTTTGTCTGTAGAGTGGGTATATCATCTCATTGACACCTGAGGCAAAAATGTGTGTCAAGTTTCTGCTAGGAGCTTCACATAGATATTCAATTTCAGATGTATTAAATGAAAGAGAAAACTTGCAAACTCCCAAAAGATAGCAGCGTTATGCTTTGCAGATATCCAGTGCACAGTATATGGTATTTTTATGTTGCTTTAAAGTGTTTAGATTTACACAAATGATTTGGTGAATACCATTATGATCCTTTTTAAGTGCATGATTTGATATAGCGCTCTTTAGTGCTTACAGTTTTAAATTGGTTGTACCAATGCATACTAAATGCTCTTTTTTTCTTAGCTATAGCAATGAACTAAATCTAGAACAAAATTGAGTTAGATAAAGCTGTTTCTAAAAGACTTGGCAGTCACACAGGGCCTGATCCAAAGATACACTGAGCACTAGCATCCCTCATTAAACTTAATGAGAGTTGGGGTTATACATTGTCTCTTGAGATGAAGGAATTGATATATATTGGTGGTTCTAAACCTTCTTTTGACTCAAGGCACCCCTCATTAGACTCAAGGCACCCCTTGGAAAAGGCTAGCTCTTTGCTTTCACTCATTTTTGACTACAGAAAAATAACAGAGACATTCATTTTTCTGTTACAAAAAACTCAGAAAAACCACAACAGGGCAGAATTATTTTAACACCGTGGATTCCCATTTGAAAATCTGGGATTATCTCATGAATCGTAACACCTAATTTTTAACAGTGCATGGCACCCTGCGGCACCCTTGAAATTATCTCAAGCAACCCAGGATGCCATAGCACCCTGGTTGAGAATTACTGTTATATAGTAATTGGAGCATGATGCCTGCCCCATACCCTCTCTGTAATATAAAATTCAGTGGTAATATTGAACAAGTATTTTTGTCTGAAATGTAAGGTTTCTGAAAATGTTCTTTGCCAACAGTCACCGTAGATGCTGTGTACTACTATAGAGTTACCCTGTATGTACAACTAAAAATAAAATCTATGTAGGAAACTATGAAAGGCTACCTTGTATTATGTTTTAGTTGCCCTCAGATATGTCATCCTTACAGGCCCTATTTCTCATAGATCTTGTGGGAAACATTAAGATTCAGTCCTACATTTAGAATATTACTAGTTAAGCCAATTTTCCTCCATTGTCTAAATTGGATAAAATTAGTTCTGCCTCTTAACATGGTGGGGAAGGAAAGAGGAATAATTCTTACTATTGATTATGTTTTCCTTTTGCATGCAAAACTCCTGATTCAGTGTGAGTTCTGTAGATGTGATGGTTGAAAATTGGCTCTATGGAGGATAGTGCCCCATGATTGCATGCATATGAAGCTTATAAACAAAAGAAGTTACATGCAATGAAAAAAAGGCTTTATCATTTTTTAATGTTACCTTGTTTTTTCATGGGGGGGATAATTTTTCAGGTAACTGGAGGCTGCTGCTATTATTTTTTTAAAGTAGTGCACCTACCCCATTTTCAGAATAGCACAGTGATCTAACTTGTCAGGATTTGGATCCCAGTTTTCTGGGTAAAGTACAAAAAATATATGATATGGAGGTATGAAGATATGTAGTATAAGCATAGCCCTATTAAAAAAGCAGTAAGGGGTGCTGGTAAAAAAATAAAAAAAAAATAAAAAGAAAAATTGCAAAACCTTTTAATTGAGAATATTTTTTTTGACAATTTAAAATTCCACTTTCAATGTCTTTTCTGCAAAATGTAATTACTTAAATATTTTGATTGAAAACTGCAGTGTGTTCCACACCCATTAGCGTATGTCAGAGGCTTTATAGTGTGGATATAGAGGGTCTGCTAGCATGGAACTTACTTCAGAGACCTGGGAAAATAAGTGAAGTGCAATGATTATGAGGAGATGATTCATGCATATACAGTTTGCATACTCAAATATTCATTCACAATTTTTTTGTATTGTACTTATGAGTAGACCAAGTAAGTGCCAATAATACCCATATACTTCTCAGTGGTGTCCTTAATCCTTATTATTTTTAATATATTTGTTAAAATGTTTATAGTGATTGCAGCAGAGATGGGTTTTAGGAGAGATTTGAATGAGAACAGGCATTACAAGTTTTAGGTGTATAAGGCCATAGTAAACAGTGTGAATTGGTATGTCTGAAGCTTGATGTATCCAATATTTGAAAATATACATGGAAGGTGTTCATGTGCGCACGCGCACACACGTTTTCTGTACGAGAGGCCAGTAAGAGAGGCCTGAGTTCTGTAAGAGAGGCCATCCATAGATAGACAGACAGATGAAAAGTTATCAGAACTGAATTTTTACTCCCTCACACTAGATAATTTTATAGGTGTGTTTGAAATATCATAGACTCAGTAAATAAGTATAAATCAGGTCCTAGAAAAATATTGCTTACTAATATCATTTGGCTCAGAGGGTAGCAATGGCTCAATGTCTGGTTAGTAGCCAGTATCAAATGGAGTGCCCCAGGGATCGGTACTGGGTCTGGTTTTGTTCAATGTCTTCATCAATGACCTGGAAGCTGGCATAGAGTGCACCCTCAAAATGTTTGCAGATGACACCAAGCTGGGAGGAGTAGTAGATATGCTGGAGGGTAGGGCTAGGATTCAGAGTGACCTAGACAAACTGGAGGATTGGGCCAAAAGAAATTTAATGAAGTTCAACAAGGACAAGTGCAAAGTCCTGCAGTTAGGACAGAACAATCCAATGCACCAGTACAGGCTCAGGGCTGACTGGCTGGGTAGCAGCTCTGCAGAAAAGGACCTGGGGGTTACAGTAGACAATAAGTTGAATATGAGCCAGCACTGTGCCCTTGTTGCAAAGAAGACTAATGGTATACTTGGCTGCATTAAAAGGAGTGTTTCTAACAGGTCAAGGAAGTGATTATTCCCTTCTATTCAGCACTGGTGAGGCCACATCTGGAGTACTGTGTTCAAATTTGGGTCACCCACTACAGAAAGGATGTGGATAAATTGTAGAGAGTCCAGTGAAGAGCAACAAAAATGGTGAGGGGACTGAGGCACATGACTTGAGAGGACAGGCTGAGGGAACTTGGCTTATCTAGTCTAGAGAAGAAAAAACTGAAAGGGGCTTCAATAACCTTCAACTACCTGATGGGTGGTTCAGAAGAGGATGGAGCTAGACTGTTCTCAGTGGTGGCAGATGACAAAACAAGGAGCAATGTCTCAAGTTGCAGCAAGGGAAGTTTAGGTTAGAAATTAGGAAGAATTTTCTCACAAGGAGGAAACACTGGAACAGGTTACCTAGAGAGGTGGTGGAATCTCCATCCTTGGAGGTTTTTAAGACCCAGCTAGACAAAGCTTTGGCTTGGATGATCTAGTTGGGGCTGGGCCTGTTTTGAGCAAGGGCTTGGACTAGATGACCTCCTGAGGTCCTTCCAACCCTTATTTTCTATGATTCTGTGATCTCCAAGTCCATTGTTAAGTGTTTGATTTCCGTCGGTGCCCAATGGGGTATCATGGATATGCTTTTGGCATGATACAGTGGCATTGACATTAGTGCCTTGTATAATTTGATGTTATCATCGATTTCAGTACTATATGAATTAAATCAATTGCCGATAGTTGAAAGAACAGATAAACAGTAAAATGACATGTGACGAATAATACACTCTTGTAACTCAGATTAGAAACAATCCTGTTTGACTGTTGCTATACGGGTGTTTGCAAAATTCAGTGTAAGATTTTGGACAAAGAAGATATATAGCTATGTTTACAGAGAGCTTTATATATTGGCTGTTTGCAAATTTTTGTACGGTACCTGGACTAGTCACATTTTTCAACTGACAGGACAGTGTAATTTTACACTATACCAAAAGCAGAATCCAAGCTAATAAAATGCGTAATGCAGTATGATATGAATGAGCACAAAACAAGATCTGGTGTGTGTTCATTCCCAAAATAGCATTGTGTTACTCATATCATAAAAACATGATACAAGCAATGTGCTCTAACAGCCACATTAAAGTAGCCTGCATTGAGTCAGAAATCTGATTGAATAATAAGAACTGAGATACGTGGGATGGAGCTCATAGTACAAAAACTTTCAAATAATCATTTCATAAGTACAATGATACGCTCCAGGGAGTCTAGTTAAGATGTCATGTGCACAATTACTCTACCACTTGGTCTTCCTGTTTATTCTTCACAGTGTACCTATATTTATATCATAAGATTTTGTTCTGCTCCACCAAACTATTTCATTTGAACACCTTTCACATAAAATAGATTGACAGTAATGACGTTGTTAGTGGATTTCATAAAAACTGTGGCTCTTCTCCTTTTTTGAGTTAGTATGCATACATATATTGATGCACTCGTATTATATAGATAACTATTATCAAATATCATGCTTTAGTCACAAGTAGAGTGTGTGGCATTGGAATATAAGGAACAAATGATAGAATAAATTAACAGTATATATGTCTCAGGACTGTTAACTGAGCCACAACATAAAATATGAACCAAATTCTACCATAAGGTGCTAGAAGACCTTGATTCTGCCATCTGCTTTGCGTGAACAGATAGCAGGCTGCAAGTGGATGCAGGGATATGCAAAAAGACGTGTTGGATAAGGAGCTAAGGTTGTGATTCAGGAGGTGAGCTAATACACTGTCCTGATATAGGATACGATCATCATTCAGAGATTAAGCTAGCAAGCTTGGGATGGCACACCAGAATAGAAATTTTAAAATGGGTTCAGAAATTCCTGATCAAAAATAGTAATAAATCTTGTAAATATAAATCATAACTGGAGAGATTCAGGAGGAAGTATTTTTCACTGCCTAGCCTTATAGCATTAAAATCCAATAGAGAGAGACATTTATCAAAAAGACAAATATTATAAAAATGTTGGTTTTTATTTGACTAGATTTCTGAACCCATTTTATCTTTTCTTTGTAATTTTTTTTTTTATTTCAGACTTGCTGGACCTTCCCTCCTGCTCTGGACCTCTCCCCTGGCGTCGACACAACTCAGAAGGATGAAAGAAAAAGAAGCAATAGGAGAGGGATGGAAGAGGGGAGAGGAGTAAAAGGAGGAGGAGGGCAGCAATTGAAATGGAGAAAAATTCAGCAGCGTTTCAGTTAAGGCGCCAAATAATAGAATATTTATAAGTTCCCCTCCTACTGACCTTTTCTTCTTTTCAGTATCCTGTCTCTCCAGCATCTTAGCCTTGGTGGCTTTTATCAGCAATTTAGCCACACCTGTCTTACTGTTGATTTTTATTTCTTCCAATAAACAGAGCACAAATGAAACAAAAAAAGGGAATCAAATAAGAAACCATTAAAAAAAATCACAAACAAACACCTTTTTACACACTTAGTGGGGGTTTTTTTAAATGTGATAGTGTTACTCTGGTGAATATGGAAGTCTAATACCCTTGCATATGTAGTATCACAGTAGAAAAGGCAGCGTTCAATTGCTTTAAGGGTTGGGCTCTGGGAACCATTTTTTTTACATGGCCCTCAGTCTCAGTTTGTTCTTTATCTGGTTTCAGGAGCATTTTTATATCAGTCCCCCCACCTCCCCACCACCACCTTATTTTTACTGCAGCATCCATGGCGTGTCTGTGTTAAATTAATCTCATTTTTGCAGTTTATCATCTTGTTTACTGCTTAATAGTATGCATAGCCCCATGAAAAACAAAGGGACAAATAGTAGTAAGTATTAAGACTGGCACAGGGATCAATATTTGTACTTTACTGTTCAGGGACATCCTCCCCATTACTCTAAGGCAGCCATCAGGTCTGTCCCAACTTGGACCACAGCTTAAAGGGCCTATGTAGGCCTTTACAGTAGTACAGAATTGCTGGAGTGAGAAGGCTCCACAGGAATATCTTCTTTCATGCTAGCATGCTGTTTCATCCACAGGTCTATTCCCACCACAAATGCCTCCTGCCTAAACAAAATACCAGTGGAGCCAGAACTTGAAATCATGGATTTTTGAAAAGGGGTATTTCCTGGGTGAAGGTTTACATTTGTCCGGTAACCCCTCAGTACCAGTCTGCCTACTGGAACATGGAGCCAGCCCACAAACAACTCACAGTAGCATTTTTGTAAGAATTTTATACTGGAAGTACTCACAAGTCCTGCTGTTATATTTGAAAGAAAACCTAAACTTGGTTGTGACTGAAGTTGGGATTGTTGAAATCCAGCCTAATGGATGTTGGTGGAACAGGTCCAGAGCAGCGTGGTGAGGTCTGAAAACCTAAAGGAATCCTTTGTACCTTAATATAGATTTTTTTAATAGTGACATGTAAAAATTCCCTGAAATTTCTGTTGGTGAATTGATAAATGCTATTTACACTTGGGTAAACTTGCTCTTTTTATAGTGGTTTAAGAGTTACACTGTAAGAATTGACCGTTGCCTTGTACAAGTAATATAAGCAGTTCTTTCGAAGTCAGTGACATTATTGAAGATTGCCCATATTGTAAGATGAAGAGGAATTGATCAACAACAACCAATCCAACACCATTTAAATTTAAGGGAAAGATTGCTACTGGCCTCAATGAGAGCAGTATCTGACTCTTAATGTCTATGCACAAGCAAGAGAACCATACAGAATTGTAAAATGGTACATTAGTGTGTAAGTTTCAAATTCAGAGAACACTAAGGTATGAATCTTCATTGGCTCCACCCTAACTCCCTATTCAAGTGAAATGGAAAACTTTCATTGACCTCAGTGAATGAGGTACTGTATTGCCTAAAGGAAAGTTATGTTAATGCCTTTTTCCAGCTGGTGTGCTGCAGATATGGCACCTAAACCCTTATTTGTTGGAGCTTGTCAAAAAAAAGTTTTAAAAAATAGACCTTGGGGAATATTTTCTGATTAACTACATTTTAACATCAAAATAAAAGCAACTTGATTTTCTGAAGGTCTGGTCCCTTGAGCCTTGTCTACTGAACAATGAACACTGAAGTTGTTCAGCACCTTGAATATTGAAGCAATTTCAGTGCATTTGCATTGAAAGCAGAACTGGTTCGGAGGTCACCACCAAGAATATCATGCTGTCAATCATTTTCAGTATACATATGTCAAAATAGAATCTTTGTTCTGTTACCTTCTTGTAAGGGCCCCTCACCACCTGGTGGTCATGGTGCTTTTCTTTGTACAGTGCAACACCCACCTGGTTCATATGACTAAACCACATAAGATCATTCCATGGATAATTCTTAGGGAAAGCTATGGGCATTTTATTATTGATTTCAGTAGGAACAAGATCAGGCCTCAGTTTTCCAGTATGATAGGATGTGTGTAAATTAATATATATTGCACGTACAGGATGTGTCTACACGAGACACGTTAATGCGCATTAGCCGTATTTAATGCACATTAAAAATGGTGACATTTGGCTAATCATGCCTAAATTTGATACTTGTAAATGCAGGTATCAAATTTAATTGCAGTTAGTTAAGGTGCATTAACACATGTGTAGACTTTAGTGCCGGATTTGCCCAACCAGTAGGGGCACGTAACAGAGCTGCAGGGACTTGGCACTCATTTTAATTTTAGTACCAAGTCCCTGCATGTGTGGACACCTGCCAGAAATCGCTTAATGTGCATTAGCTTAATGCACATTAAATTTAGTCGCGCTTAAATGCACATGGAGATATGCCCATACATACGCAATACTAGGTATGTCTACACGTTCATTAATGTATCTTAGATACTGCGTATTTAGTTTAGTACTTGCTTAATAAAGGACTAACTAAATGCGCAGTACCTAGAGTTACTGCCTGGTAGCATCAGCACACGGTTATTTAATGATGCTTACTGTGCATTAGCCTAATAACACTTCCCAGTAGTCTATTAGCTCAGTTTGTGCTGTGATGCACTGCTGCACAGTGTTAATAGGCTAATGCGCAGTAAGCATCTTATGTAGACACACCCACTGTGTAGTACTTTAATAGATTGCATGAAAGATATTGGTGAATCGGTAGTTTCATAAGTGGAACAAAACAAATTAGATTCAATTTAAAAAATATGTATTCTTCTGCTTCTAATGAATGACATGCTACAGATTTTGTCCAGTATGCTGGATATAGTGAACTGTAATATGTTATTTACTAATCAGTAAAAAGAGTAAAGGACAGTGATTCAAGGGCACTTAGTACAGAGTAGTTTAACATAAGAATTAATTTCCTATTCAACAAGATGCCTAATAAGCAAACCACATTCTGTTACCAAAGGAAAAATTATATCTACTAATGATCATAATAATTAACAGCATAGAATGGTATGGATATGTTAATATGCCATAAAAGGCATACATTTACATAAATAAAAATAAATGTTTTCAATGCCTAGAATAAATGAATACATTGAGAGTCTCACATGATGAATGAAATCAGAGCAATTTATTAATATATATACACATTAATTCGTATATGCATTTATTTACACACACACACACACACACACACACACACACACACTCACTGACTGCACTTACTCAAATCCAGGAGAACAGTTTTTTTCGCCAATCAATATGAGGGGGGAAAAAGCATCATCTTGGACTGGAATACTGACTCTAGGCACATGGCAGCTCCTCTCTGGCTTTGGCCCCTGCTTTGGGGCTGGATTCGGAGCTGAACTGCTGCCTGTCCTGGGCTGAAATGGCTTGTTTGGTGGGGAAGTGGGCACATGACTGGGTGGTAGCACAGGGTAGAAAGGCAGGGTATGCGGAAGGAACTGGCAGCCTGCTTGCCCCCAGCCCCCATTTGCCTTCCCCCCTGAATCCTCCCACCCCCTGCTCCCCTCTGCTGCCCTCCCTGTACTTAGTGCTTCCTGTCAGCTGCCCCCTACCCACTTACTTTCTTCCCTGGCTCCAACCTTGACCTGGTTTGATTGGGAGCCCGCTGCTGCTTCTTCCTGGCCAGGCTGGGGGCACTGCAGGTGCTTCTGACTGCCTTGAAGTTGCAATAGAGCTGCAGCAGAAGGTAAGGGGAGGGGTGTGGTAGGCATGAGAGGAGCAAAGATTAGGATGGCAGGCTGAAAAGAGGGAGCAGTGAGTGGGAGGGCATGCACAGGCATGGGGGACAAAGGGTGGGGAGCAGGCCCAGGCATGGAGGGGCAGGCAGCAGGGAGGCATGTGGTAGGGGGTACATACTGGGGAACAGGCAGCAAGGGGAAGGTACAAGGGGGACAAAGGGCAGGGGAGCAAGGGGTAGGTACCCTCATTCTTGCTACTCCTTTCCTTGCCACAGTAGCAGTGGGAGGGAAATGTAAGAGGACCTTCCACTAATTTGATTCTATATGTGGACAATTATAACATGTATAATTGTCCATGGATAGAGTAATTATTGGGGAGGGTGAATCTTAAATTCAAAGTTAACTTAGATTTTGTTAAAGACAATGTGCATGTGCATGTATTATAATATAAACTATATTTACTTGAATCTAAGACAAAGTTTTCCCCCTCTATCAGCATGGTGGAAAAGCCCCTTGTATTATATTTACATACAACATGGGGCGAGGGGGGGAACAAGTAGCTATGACAGCTCTGACTGGCCCTGAGCCCAGGTCAGGGCCAGAGTCAGACCCACAGCAGGCTCCTGACCCCCTCCTGTCAGGGGACACCTTGGCTCCAGCTTGGTCTAGTTTCCCTCTTGGGCATGGAGCGCATGAAATCTGTCCCCTGCCTGGTCACTCAACAGTATCAACACTGGCCAATCAGCAGTGTCAACACTGTTGTGTGGCCTGGCAAGGGCTGAGCTTCCACATGCTGCGCTTTGGGAGGGAACAGAGCCCGAGCAGCATCTGACAGTAGGAAGGGGCAGAGGCTGTAGGGAGTTGAGGGGGGTGGGGGCAGGTTGGTGGTGGGGTGTACAGAAAAGCTGCAGGTGGAAGAAATGGGGGAGCAGAGGGCAAGGAGGCCACCTTACCTACCTCAGCTATCTGCTCTCCCCCTCCCCCCCCGCTACTATTTTCTCTGTTGTAGCAGTGGAAAGGGACAGATTCAAGACAACCGTCCAATAATTAGATTCGATACCTGGAAAATTATAACAAATTTATACATTTTCCATATCTAGAATTTAATTATTGGGGAGTTGTCTTAAATTCAGGGTTGCCTTAGATTAATTGCACACACACACACACACACACACACACACACACTAAGCAGTTTTACATTTCATGTGTATTGTTCCTGGAAAAAATTCAGTCAAAACAATATAGACAGTTCCACTGATGAAGCTGTTGTAAATAGGCTGTGTTACCAGTGTTAAAATTTGAATTGTCCTGGTCTGTGAGAAGCTCTAGAACCTCCACAGTTTGGAGAAGGGGCCTACAATTTTGCTGGGGTTGACCTATGTATGTGGTGTATACATCTTGCCATCTCTAGGAAAATCTTTGAAAAAATTTACATGCTTAGTAGAACCTTGCTGAAGCTTCACATTTAGAATCGGAAGATTTCATTCTTATTGAGGAAGGTTTGGATCAGATTGCAGCTGGTAATGATAATGAGGATATTTAATACTATTACTACTAATAATAATAATTCAGTCTTCTATAATTCAGTCTTCTTCAATCTTCTCTTCAGATGAGAAAATTGAGGCACATATTAGGGAAGTGATTTGTCCAGGATCTAAAATAAATGTTTTAAAGTCCCATACTAAATCTTACTTCATAAAAATGTGAGTTAACATAGTAAGGCTTCTTTTTGGTATGTCGTATCAGAACATTTTTAGGCCTCATAATATTTACCTTCATTTTAAGAGAACAAATATTAATGACGGTGAACTTGTGATAAGAGGACAGGGCAATGTTGTGTAGGGACAATGTTATGTAGCAGAAGTCTGTTAGAAAAGCAGTTAGTGGGGATGAGGAGCAGCTATTTACTCATTTTAGTATCAATCAATTAACCATGTGATAGACGAGTCACAGGCCAAAATTTTATGTATAGATCAGAGATATATGTCTGCTGTAGTGTAAAGGATCAATTCAGTATAGCTTAAGAGAGTACCAGTGTTGTAAAAATCAATTTTGCAAATTTATTATGAACCTCTCAATATTTGACATTTTACAAAAAGTCTTCAGGAGCCAAAAGGTTATGGGAGAATCTCATGGATGTGCAACTGGAGAATGAATTGCAGGTTTGAATTCTTCATCCCATAGGGCAATATTATCTAAATAGTCAGAATTTTTTTATTGGTAAAATGTAACAATATATTGCATGATTTTGGCTTTGTCAATGTTACTTTGACAGGGGATGAATTTGCAGATGGAGAAGAATGCAGAATTAATTATAAGTACTTGGGGAGTTATATATGTGCATTAAGGCCGGGTTAAGGATAAATCTTTCATTTCTTAATTAAAGGAATGTTGAGCACATAAATAGAAGCTTGCTAACATTTACGAGTTTGTTTCATATCTTTTTAAAAATTAGTTTTTTTACATAACATACTGTTTCAAAATGCAGTTCCCTATTGGTGGACTTATTTATATTACTGTAACGATAGATATTTCCATATATGAAAAGTCTGCCTATTGTTGCACCATTATGCCATAAAATGTAACTATAACAATATTGTTGAGAAACACTGACAGCATGATTTAGTGGAGGAGGATACTTCTGGAAGCCAGGCATATGTGTTTTACCACTAACTTTGTTTATTGTCTCACAGCATGAGTTTAGGAGGAAGTCCTTTAATGTATCTGTGCCTCAGTTTTCCTGCATGTTACAATAGACATAATACATATTTTTCTGACAACCAAGAGTTTAAGTATATCTTTGTATGGTACTTAGGCCTTTTAAGTGGAAATACTTATATTATAATAATTAATTGTATAATGTAATTTTATATGTATTTCATTAAATGCGTAGCATTCAGTTGTTCTGATATCAGCAATAACTTATGTTTAGACAAGTATAGCTCATGATATTGTACTAGCTAACAAATGCTAAGTTTTTATTAGACCCCATTACAGCAAATTTCATCTAAGAATTTTTAATCCTTTGCAAACATTGAGTAAGCTTCACAGCTGCCCTGTCATTCTATTATTGCTGTAGCACCTAGGATCTCCAGTAATGTATCAGGACAAACACACAATGGAAAGACTGTTACAACCCTGAACAGTTTACAATCTAAGAAAAGCATATTATTCACTATAAATCTAATAATTTTACAGTATAATACATTCACACAATACAATGATTACTATTTATTTAAAATACCGCATACATAGGAATATGATTATTTAGATGTGCAGAGTGCTTACTTTATCATGGAAAGCAGGGGCCTGACTAGGAACTATAGCTGTAGTTGTCCACAAAGAACAGGAGGGTGAAGAAAGGGAACATACATCCCGGGATGCTGGAGCACTGAAATTTGGGAGATTTGTCTTTGGGGAGTGCCCACACATTCATGGAACATGAGCTGGATAACATGGATCAGAGATAAATCTGCCCTTCAGTAGTGTAACTTTAGATGCTTAAAGGGTACTTAAAACTAGTTTACACATTTTAATTTGTGGACAATCCAGGGGTTAAGATCTCCATGTGCCACCAAAAGCTAATATGTAAGATAGCCCTTAGCATTCAAAAAATAAGGTTTGTACATACAAACCTTTGTGAACTCTCCCCTCTTTTTTGCATTTGCCTAACCCCCTGCCCACTTTTTCCCTTTTTTTAAACTAGTAACTTTTCTTTCTTGATGTCTGCTTTGTATTTGATAAAAGTGTTTCATAATACTTGAACTATGGTGTCATCACTGTGTATTTATTAGCCAATCATATCTTTATTTCAGTTGGAAACCCATTTTATATGTAATTACCTTCTCTGATACGCTTGAGATAAGTTCAGCCAAAACATTTTTAAAAACAGTTTATTAATAGAATAACAACAGTGGTTTTAAAAGCAGATGGAAGAGAAACTGACATCAAAAACAAGTTAAATTATGAAATTACCATAATGAAGTCTTCAGAAAAATCCTATAGACATGTTGTAGGTAAAAATTTAAATAGACATGAAACCTATTTTGATTTTTAAGTAATGGAGTGATGTAAGGTGGAAGTAGTTATTACACATTCACTGAAAGAAGATGAGCAGAAGTTACTTTGGGGATTGAGAAATATATATCACAAGTACAGATCTTGTTAGCTTAGAAAGGGACACAATAAGTTTCTTCAGCAGCAATTAATAAACTGAAATTTATTCAGAGTATGTGGTTTTGGCATATTGTTTCAGCCATCTTAAAGTGATGTTATTACCATTGTGAAGAGCCTGAAGGCCACCGAGTAGCATTGGAAATGGATGTGAATCAACAATGTGGAATATGATTTGAATTTGTCCACGAGAGTATTTGTTGTCATTGGGAAAGACCCATTGGTATAGGTTTGAGGCACAGTGACCCTGTCCAGGGTAACCTGGAATGTAAATTAATAATACAAAAATATTTCTGATTTGTTTAATGTAATATTAAGTCTTTTTTATATGAAAAGATAACAGTTTTTAGAGACAGATCTGAAATGGAACTTCTGAATGCCCAAATACCAGTAAGTGTATATATTGTAGTTATGGGCAATTGTTTACACTTGAGAGTTAAAACACAAATATTTGTTATTCAGGTGTCATTGTGAACATGTATTCTCAGAAGGGCATGGTAAAACATGGTATATTTGGCTTAAGAATGTCTTATTTAGATGTATTTAAATAGTTATGTATTTTAGATATCTAGCAACATCGATATAGATTAATGTAGATAAATAGTTAGTCATAGATGTAGATTCATGAAGATAGAGAGGTAGAGATAGATGGATGGATGCCAACTTTCCTCTGAAGGTTTCTGCATATAATATGTGGGATCCTTTATAAATACCAGTATATGATCTTATAAATATGTAAGTCACGTTTGTTACAGGAATGTTGCAGTAACCATTGAACAGTTTTCATTGTAACTCCCAAGATTCATTGTAAAACCATTACTTTATTTATGATATGTTCCATGATGAATGTCATCCTGGAGATGATTGTCTTGGAAAATTTTAGGGTGGGGGGATAGTTCAGTTGTTATTTAGACAAGGAGTGAAAATGGATTGATTTTTGTCTATTATTTAACATAACAAAAAAACCAAACTATATAAAAATATATTTTTTTAACTAGACAATTAGCCACTGAGGCTTGTACAGTTACATCAGGCAGTGAAATTGACCTTATAGGGTAATGCTTGTTATTGTTCCAAAGAGAAGGGGTTTCCCCATACAACAGTGGTTTGTATTGAAACGTATCTAGTTGAGCTCTTGTACAAAAAAGATTCTGAGGGTTCCGATTCGATTCAAAGAGATTAAAGGGTCCTCTGATTCAATTCAGATTCAGAGATTTGGCCACTGAATTGGGCCGAATCCCCACCAAATCAAATGAGGAACTAAAGCTTTGAATAGCCTTAGTAGACAGTGCAGGCTTTAAGACAGTCTTTTATACACCATGAAAAGGCTACAGAGGCTATGCTTAGAAATATGACTGATGTGCTTAAGCACTAGCTAACTACAGTACCACTTTGGTTATGTAAGTTCAAACTCAACCCTCTCCTTCCACTGCTAGTGTCTGCTTTGTCTGCTTCTGGATATTCTGTAAGCAACAACATCCTGGGAGTAGGGGGCCACAACAGTCCTGGGAGTAGGGGGGAGGCACGTGCACCCTCAGGAGGCCTCAAGTTCCTCTACACCAATGCTCGTAGTATGGGCAGCAAGCAGGAGGAACTGTGCCTCTTGATTGTGAGTAAGAATCCAGACTTAGTAGGGCTCACAGAAACCTGGTGGGACCTTACCCACGACTGGGTGTTGGGCATTCGGGGATACATCCTATATAAAAGGGACAGGACAGAGAGGAAAGGCGGGGGGGGGTCACATTCTCTGTCAAAGAGCAACTCATATCATCAAAGATTAGCTTCAGGGTAGAGGAGGGTCAGGTGGACACACTGTGGCCAAACTACAAGGGGGACCTGCTGGAATTCACTATCCAGTGCAGGGTGTCAAGGGCTTATAGCAAGACTAAAGCCCTTGACTTCGGGAGGGCCAACTTCAATGAGCTTCACAGATTAGTGGGGGAGGCACTGAGGGCCCAGAAAGTAAAGGAGGTGGGAGTCCATGAGGGATGGTCATACCTTAAGGGGGTGATCCTCCAGGCCCAAAGGGTAACAGTCCCTGAGAGAAGCAAGGAGGGTAAGAGTGCTCAGAAACCCCCTTGGCTCAGCAAGGGATTCAGGAATGC